GCGGGTTGGTGATAAAATATAAAAGTTAGTCGATTTATAAAATTTTATTGTGCGTTCTTTATAAATATAATAAATTAAATAATATCCAAAACCCACTTATTGTTCCTTTTTTATTTTATTAATTGTTCTTATTTTTGTAATTGTTTATCACAGTAGTATATTTAATTTTGGATTTTTCTCTGATTTCGGTTTTTGTTCCTGTTGAGTTATCTATTTTACTTTTATTCTTATACGACTTTATATAAAAATCACCAAACAAAAAGATGAATAATGTGGCATTCAATACCATCGTTAAAAGCAAACCATAAGAAGGTCGACATGAAGACACTTTGTAATTAACAACAACTTGAAGAACAATAAGTAAAAATTGTATCTGAAAATTAAATAAAATACATATTAATCTCATTAATATTATAAATGCGAATGTCTAGATGTATGTATATTTGTTTTGAACGTATATCTTAAGAACGGAAGAATGGATCTCGATGTAATTTGACATATATATAGAACATATTCTGGAAGAACACATAGGCTACTAATTATGTTTTTTTAATTCCGCGCGGACGGAGTCGTGGACGATAGATAGTTGTGGTAATAAACACGACAATATTAATATCTTTTCGAGATACAAAAAATAAACAAATGATTGTTGTTTTTTTAAACTTACCAGTTGCATAGTTGTTATATACTTTTTCCACCATAAGTATTTAGTGAGATCGGGAAATGCCGATAGTCCGTAGTATGTATACATAACTATATGTACAAATGAATTGAGTGTCCCGAGGAATATAGTGCTGTAAGATGGTTCATATTTCAATGCTCCCCAGCTGCTCAGTAATGTGATTGAATGATGGTACACATGAAGAAAAGTTACTTGACGATCTTTCTTTCTTAGAACAAAGAAAACTGTGTCGAACAATTCCGTCAATTTTGCAAAAAAGTAATAATATATTCCAACTGCAGTCTGAAAACAAAACAATTATTGTTTAGCATTTATTTTAAATTATATATCTCAATATACATAATATATAGGACATAGTTTGAAACACATAGGATAATATTTAAGTTTTAACTCCGCGCGGACGGAGTCGCGGGCATAGTAGAGAAAAAAATATTGATTAATATACTTACATAATGTTTTAAATCCTCACTGTCAGATAAACATTTTCTTTGCAAAAACAAACCATTTCGCTGCAGCAGATCATAGCCCTGAAATTGATAAATAGCATTTCATTATTTAATATCAGTAAAATTCATTTGTACAGGGTGTTCTGGAAAGCCGTATATCGGAGTACCATAGATTCATTAGTCAAAAATATGAAGATTTAAACCAAATTACTTGCATCAAAATTTGCATAGTTTAGATGCTTATGGCCTTCAAAGTTTATTAATTATTTAACATTTATTCGGATATCTTAAAAAGTCTTTAATAGATTTTATCCATATCGAAACAATGTTTTAGTTGGTTAAACGATACATTTTTTGCAGAAAGAATTTTAAAATTAAATATTTTCCCATTCATTGAATTACCCGTGTGAGTATCAAAATACAAACAACATTATCTCTCTTTTGTTTTTATCAAACTTCAGATGTTTTTCTCTTGTTATATATATAAAAAGGTGTAATCTACAACTGTGATGCCAAAGTCAGACCAATGTCAAAAGTGTAAATAATATCAAATGTCATAGTGCAAGCAAAATATTTTGTCAATTTTACTAGACATTTTTTTAAAGATTTTTAAGAACACAAACCTACACAGGCGTGCTAAGAATATTATAAAATAATTGATTAAAATCTGACCAGAGATTTAGTAACAGACATACAAACAATGATATTTATATAGAAGAAAATATATGCTCCCGAGCGGCTTCAACCGTTTGTGTGTTAAACAGAATAACCGCAAAGTTAAAATGTTCAAATAATAACGAAGACCGAGAACATTGGCTGATAATTACTGTTTATTGCAATTTATGTTCCTTTTCTCATGTAACTTTTTTTAATTACTCACCACTTTAATTTAATGTCTTGAAAATATATAGCGTGTCGTTAATATAAGATTTTTTATTTTAAAAATAATGATTTAAAATTATGCCATGTTTGCTACGATCCTACGTTATATAGAATTGTATGTTTAAGTTTTATTATACTATATACTATTATAGATAATTAGTAGTTCAATTCAGATCAATAGAAACTTGTTTAAAGCGACGATAAAAGATCTGATCAGATCGATTACATGCTAATTTCTGAACTTTGTCTAGCTTATTATACTCTTTCATTATCTCTATTTAGTTATAAAACAGTAATAACGTACAATTAAAATATTCATTGTAGGTAACTAATTAATACGGTGTTGAAGGTCAATTTCAACTTGTTGGACTGCAGTGACGCTTGCATAGAAAATGGCATATTTTGTTAAAAAAAAAACAGAGAAAACTAGATGTGTCATGACAACAAGTGGTTGCAATCGAAACCCACAGTTAAACTTATTCGTTAAAGGATGATGATTGGAACGTAACAAAGTTGACAAAGCACAATACTTGTAGGTAATGTAACTTCAGGATAGTTGAATTGCGTGATTCGAACCCACTACTCGATTAGTAGTCGTTTAACCATTAGGCTATTGGCAATGCAATGTCGGGTTCATCTATAGGTCAAATTCAATTGACGTAAAACATCAATTAAAATTCATTTTTCAAGATACAACATGCTTTATACAATCTAAAATATAAACCCAATGTTTTTTATCAATAATACTCACCACATAGAAAACGAAGCAGGAGAACATAATTTGAAAAACGTTGTATAATATGAGAACATTATTCAAACTGAAAGGAGGTCGCTTTTTCATGAACTCTGGTCCAATTTTTAGAACAAACGCGAGGTATGCTATCCATATTGACAGGACTGGTATTGGAGTAGACATGAGAAACCATTTGTCTACGTAATCCACTGAAAATACAGAAAAAAAAATAGTTTAAAAATAGTAAACTAGAAAGCCTTTGCAAAACATGCTAAGTACAATAGTTGTCTTCAAAACTGTAGAAATCAAAAGTCTAGCAAAATTATAAATATAATAAAAAACGTATAAATATATTATAAAATGTAATTATTTCGTATTTATGTTAATGTTTTCAATTTTATTTATAAATTTATGAAGGAATTGTAATTCTTATTAGCACATAATTAACATATTGTCAATGGAAAAAGAAATTGTCACGACACGTGTCAATAGGTTATGCGAATTTAAATATAGTGTGCTAGATCCCGCAGCTGTTATAATGTTATATATAAATATATGATGGGTGCATTTGGTCGGGTCTATCTGTAAATACCACATCCTCACAGAAGACGAAGGTGAAGGGGAAGCAAGTTCGAGTTTAATCTGACGGTGTGTGTGCCACCCTTTTCTTATTAGGAAATGATGGCAACGGGAAGTGGAATCGGCAGAGGAAGGGACGCACAGGAAGAGAATCTGTACGTCACCTTTGATTAATACGTTTGTGACGACACTACAGAATACTCGCTTCACTTTCTCTAATAGTAGATTTGCTATTATTTTGAAAATCAAAGCTACTTTTCTCATAAAATTCTTGACAAGCTGGGTGAGAGCGACTTTCTTTAGCGATGACAGAAAAATCAGCGACGCGCGATGTAACGTATATAGTATCGCTTTGCACCTAAAATTGCCGGTTTTGAAGATTTACGTTGTCGTGTGTACGAAGGGCCTAACATTTCATTATCATATTGCTTTTAATCAAAGTACGTCTAGGTATAAAAGACATACTGAAGAATCTTGGAGATTTAATCTCCGAAAAGGCAATATCAGTTATAATAAAGCTCGATAGCAGAATAAAAACTTATCCATTATATGAACAGGTTAAAATTATACAGTATGATTCTAGATCAATTTTGCTGAAAATTGTACGAATATTAAAATAATAAAAATGAATAATAATATTGATAATGAGTAATTTAATAAAACTTATACCTTCTCCCTTAAAATCCCAAAAGGAATAATTTTCTGCGGTGATGTTGTGCAGCATAATTTAAGTTTTCTGTCAATTCCACGTCCGATGAGGAGCCTACCGGCCATATACGAATCTGAAAACTGTCTGACATAGTTTTAATTAACAACCAACGTAATAATTTACCTACGTTACCTATGTTAAACGTGTCACTTCGATTATTTACGTCATAGTAATAATTACGCAAACGTTGTAAACAAAAATACACCAATACTAATATAAGATTCACACGAGGGTAGCACAACGAGGAACACCAGTAGGACATTGCTGTACTGCTAATTTGAAGCACACGCGAAAGCAGAACAGTACTGGTATGAAACTTCGCCTTACTCAGATGCTAATTTTGAGTGTAATATTAAAATAACTTCGTAGCATAACATAGTAACGTTCCTCGGATATTCAATAGTTTCATGAGAAAGGATGGTAAGTCAGTTCTATACACATAGGTACACGGTAAAGGAATAAGCCACTACATAAAGTGACTAATGGCACGTATTCTTACGGTGAAGAAAAGCATTATGGTGAAACCTGCATATATTTCAAAACAATGCAAAAAATGTCAAATATGTGTGTGAAGTCAACCAACCAACCCTCGGTGTGCCGGCGTTGTTGACTATGGCCTAGTCAATAATAATTAGGGAGTGGTCTCGTGTCCCTTCGCGCGCTAGATCTCTCATCAGTGTTGTAAAAGCTACAGTGATTGGCGACCAGCCATCCGCCTTCCAACTTCCAATTCACCAAATCCTTAGAATTAAATTGTATGATTTTTTAAAATATTTAAACTGTTTTACTTCGTATAAAGTATAATGTATGTTACTGTCAAAGAACAAATTTCGGTAAATTTTAGAATTTACTGGTAGATAATAAGATTTTTTTCAAGTAATTAGCATACCTTTAGTGCAAGATTTGCTTACTTAAAGGTGGAGAAATAGACGTATAACTAATAACAATAATTTAAGCATTTTAAAAATAACGAAATTTTTATTTCTTAAAAAAAAACAATCATTTAATGATCTTGTCAAAATCTTAAAGTATTTGGGTTATCTAGATAATAGTGTTGAAATAAGCAAATTTTTCGACTTTTACCTAACTAGTTAGTAAATTTTAGAGCTTGCCGAAGTTCATGCTTTAACAGTAACATGTATATTTTTTGTATTTTATTTAAACTATAAAAGTATTGACTACACTCTTACTAGTTAAGTTCCAAGGGGTCATTGAGGTCGCATATATCAAAGTAACGTAAGAAATAGATTATTAACTTTTGTTAAATGACGCATTTGATTTTTGCAGTTCCACAAACTGCAAAAAAAACAATTATTTGTTTTTTTTTGCTAAAATCAAGTTTATACTTGATTTTATCTACAAGATGTCTGACTTATAAAAATAGATATTAAAGTAAAAGGTTAATTTTTTTTGTTAAAATTATTAGCAGATTTTTTGTAAATTTACTAATATTTCTTGTACCATTCCAATAAGCTCTATGCTTGTGCTAGGACATGGTTTACGACAGTAGTCGAATGGCGAGATTCGAACCCCCGATCTCGAGATCTCAAATCGGTACCCGTAAACATTAGGCTAATGACGCTTGAAATGATGATTTATAGATAATTTAAATAGCTATGATTTTGCTGCAAAACCCTTCATACAAAAGAATATAATATTTTTGACATATCATTATAAAACAACAAAGAACGCATTAAAAATGATTGACTTAGATATTCGAAGGAAATAAAAACTTATACATTAGTAACCATTTTAATTTTATTAAGTGAAAAACTTAAAAACATTGTAACAATAAGTACTTAAAGTAAACAAATTTAACTTACCCCAAACAAAAACTTAGAAATACTTCAAAACACAACACACGACGTGACATCGTTAATTTAATAAAATTAATAACTATATTTTATATTTAGTTTTTTATAAATTTAATGCTTATTTTCACTGAGCGATTAGCTGCGCGACTGTCAAATATCGCAATAGCTGTCGAGATAGCGTTGGACGAATCGCACGAATAACTGCTTAGTGGAAATAGGCACTAAAATAACTGACATACCTAACGTTATCATAGAAAAAAACTACTGCGAGGTATAACTTAATTAGAATAGTGAGTTATTGACCAAATATTGTAAAATATTGCTTTTAACTATAAATTAAAAATAACTACAAACAAAACGTATATTAAATTTATCAATTTCCAGAGAGGGCAGACAAAAAGCAGGAGAAAAATGCTTTCTAGACGAATTACTTTGAATCGACGACACGAAATTCAGGGCGGAGTTTGATTTTGCGAGTTTTTTTTTAAATAGGCACATTAAAAGACAACTTTTTCGATATGTATCACAGTGATATGTGTGACATATATTGGACACATACAAATTAAGAATATATTCATAACAAATTAAATTTAAAACAAACGACCATTGTATATATTACAACTTCGTACCGTCTTGCCGCGACGCCGAGGGCATCCACTCGTAGGTGTGGGAACCTTAATGCCTTCGCTTATTGTATTTATGTCAACAATAAACAAACAAAATGACTGTAATACATAATTATAAAAAATTAATAACACGTAGCTTGTGACACGGTAATTTACCCTACCTAAAATTCAATTTTTTCGGCAAAATAAAATTAATCAATTTGACTTCAAATGAACTCTTCAATATCATTCGAGAGAGCGAGGATTCGAAGCTCACACATTCATTTTGAAATCGTAACTAAACTCATATCTTATTTTAAATATTAGTTCATCAAATAATTTTCATACCATACGTAACATCAATTATTACTCGAGTTATTTGTCTATTACCTTAATAATAAAAAATACGACTGTATTTTTTCGATATCGGCACAAGCTAAAAGTAAAGTAATAATAGAAAATAATATGTTATATTACTTACAATTAATACATAAAATTCTATTCTACGAAGAAATGAAAATTACAGAAGGGCCTATTACGAATTTACGAATATAATCAGCAATATGCGCTTTCGTAACGTCATCCACAAAATACATCAAAATTTGAATTAGATTTGTCGCACTACTTTATACGTAATACAAATCTAATACACATTTTTTTCGATTACGCTACAAACATTATCACACAAATTTTCGCGCTAGGTTCGCTGATTAGGTGTCAAAATAAAAAAAATTACATTCAAAATGTTCCTTAATTTCTAACATCTAAATTATTGCATTAATTGTGCGGTGTTTATTTATTTTATAAAATACAGATTTTTGGACAATTGACAAATGTTATATTTATTATTTATCAATAGATTTTTGTTCATGTATTTTTATGCAAATATTACAATAAATGTGGCAAATATAAAAGAAATATATTTACCAAGCACCAAATACGGACAATAAATTATATTTCAATCATTTTCTTAGCAATTTTAAACGTGGAAATTTATAATTATTAGGCGATTAAGGCACACAAATATTTATGTAAATACAAACAGATAATAGCACTAAACTTACCATTCCTTATATTAATTTTAATTTTTTCATCCTAAATTTAAATTATCATTAATTTTAGCATCACTACTATAGTCCCTATTATTTAAAAGCTTAAAATGGTCAGAGTTTTTGTAATTTTTTATTTAATATTATTTCTAATATAGCATCGAAATAATTTGGAAATAATTTTTGCTCATTTAAACATTTTTTCACTTAATCATTTTCCTTATTCTAGTTAAAATTCCTTCCGTTTCATCACAAACATCAGTCTCAAGTGAACGACCTACCGACTTACTATTACACAATTATTTGTTAATTAAACTATCATAATCACATTCAGGTCCAAAAGAACCAACGCTACGTCTTTTTAAATATTCTTTGCCATCTTTGATAATTTCTTCACAAGCTTTTTCAACTTTACAAGGTATATCTTCTAAATTGGGGATGCCTTTACAGATGTCTCCGATTACATCTTCGTTACATTTATTTACACCATTTACGTTATCTTTGAGTCCATTGGTCATTTTGTGTTGTCTATTCTTTTGCAGCTTGTAGTTTTTGGCGTAGAAATTGAGAAATAGTATGAGGAATATAGTTACATTTGCAGATATGAAATATGTGAAGCCGGGTGCGTATTGGCAGCGCGGAGAGAAATGTGTCCACGCACAGTACGACAGCATCAGAACAAATTGTATCTGAAACCAATCAACAATACGCTAAATTATCTTTAAATATTCCAAAAACAAACAAAGAATTACTCTATTATAATTTCTAAAATACTAAATGCATTAAAAATCGTTTATTAATTTCGAAATGAAAATGGCGTATTTTTGTTTAATATATCTTGTCACCCCTAAAGGAGCGAGGTGTAAACAGCCCATACAGATAACAGAAACGGTCATAACTCTTACATACCAGTTGCATTGTGGTGACATATTTCTTCCACCAGAGATACTTCTGGAAATGAGGGCCGAGTCCTGACAGCAAGTAGTAAGTGTACATAACCACGTGCACGGCAGAGTTGAGCAGCGCGAGCACAGCGCCCTCGCCTCCCGCCGCAAACTTTAGGTAACTCCATGAGTACAGCGCCATTATCACGTGATGGTACACGTGTAGGAACGTCAACTGGAAACAGTTTCGTTATCAGGCAGATAATAAACCGAACATAGCTAGTATAATGAGAAGAAAGTGGATGAAAACTTTAAAAGAGTAAGTTGCTCTAAGTAACAAAGATAGAAAACGTAATATTAAGGTTATTGTCACTAAATACATATGATATATTAAAAATAACGTAGATATACAGTAACTGATTGCTATATTTAGAAGAATTTATGAAATAAATTACCTGCTTTTCCTTCTTTCTTAACACGAAAAAGACGGTATCTAATAGTTCAGTAAACTTGGCGAAGAAGTACCACCAGCCCAAATCGAGAAGCTGAAATATGTAAGAGCGAAATTAAAAAATATTTATCTTAGCTGGCATTTAAAAAACAATCAATACTTACCATAGGATTCAGAGTGTTTGCGGGATATCGACAACCCGCATATATGATACCGTCCCGGAAAAGATTCAATTTAAATACCTAAAAAATAATACAAAAATGTTAAAATTATTCATAGAATGTTAGTATAGGCTGTAGACGTAGGCTTCATACATACTTTCATACAAATCATAGTGGCTAGCACAACTTGAGCGGCATTGTAATAACTTATGAGTTTGTTAATTTTCATTGGTGATCTATTCTTCATCAATTTAGGGCCGATTCTTATGAAGAGCAGGTAAGCGATCACAACTGTAAGGATGGGCGTCGGACTTGACATCATAAACCACGAGTCCACCATAGCACCTGGAAGTCAAAGGAAAAAAATTACCTTTTTCATAACATTAAGAACCATTTCCCCTGTAGGTTTTTGATAAGGAAGTGTACGTAAAAAATATTGCTAATTTTGTATTGAAGGCGTTTGCGACAGTGATTACTTGAGTTTTAAACTCAAACTTTTACAGCGCCATCTTTTGGGCTTATAATGTACATAGATTTTTCATTCACATATATTTTTGGCTACATATTTGAAAGCTTTTAAGATTTGCTTTCGAAATAGTTACTTACTTTTTCCAATTTTTAAAGAGTCCAGATAGCCATCGATTTTCTCCAAATAACTCATCTTGAAATAACCTGAAATTAAAATAATTATAAAAACTTATTTTTTCCAGTAGACACACGCAAAATGTAAATTGGAATAATGTCAAATTGACATATTTATTTGTTTTTTTTA